CTGTATACACTAAGAGTATGTACCAGCTATTTAGTAGGTTAGAGTCTCGCTCGTTATCGGAATAAACCAGACAAATCACTCCACGAACTAAGAACGGCCATGCACCACCATCCACTGAATCATGAAAAAGCTATCAATCTGTCAATCCTCACAGTGTCCGGGCCGGGTGAGTTTCCCCGTGTTGAGTCAAATTAAGCCGCAGGCTCCACTCCTGGTGGTGCCCTTCCGTCAATTCCTTTAAGTTTCAGCTTTGCAACCATACTTCCCCCGGAACCGGAAGACTTTCGTTTCCGGGAAGCTCCCCACCAAGGCAATATAATTTCCATCGGCGGATCGCTAGTTGGCATCGTTTACGGTCAGAACTAGGGCGGTATCTGATCGCCTTCGAACCTCTGACTTTCGTTCTTGATTAATGAAGACATTCTTGGCAAATGCTTTCGCTGTAGTTTGTCTGGCCACGGTCCAAGAATTTCACCTCTCACGGGGCCATACAAATCTCAGTCCGTAAAACCAATAAAACTGAACCAAAATCGTTTTCTATTATTCCATGCACGATCATTCAAGCGAAAACGCCTGTTTGAAGCACTCTGATTTGTTCAAAGTAAACTTGCAATGCCTGTTAAGAATCCTGTTAAGGAACATAAATTAGCTGCCAAATAGAATAAGGAAGTAAAAACTCACGTGTTGTTATAGCTTCCGTCGAGTTTATGACCAACATCAAGGCATTTGCTGAGTCCTCCTTTTATGTTTCGCACTCCGGTCGTGAACTTGATCGTGCTGTTGTTCGACGCGTTTTTGCTGAGAAGATCCACAGTGCATCCCTTGCTGCCGTTGTTGTACCGAAGCTCGCTGAAATAAAAGAAAATGTTAGTTACGATTAGTCTTTAAAAGAATAAAAAAAGTCCTCACATGTAGTCGTCTTCGATTGAAACATCGCAGGCGTCCGGATACAGCTCCTTGAAGCGACAACTAGTAAAGTTGAAGTACGTATTGTTGGCAACTATGGGTTCGCCGGCGAGCATCACTGTGTCGTTTGTCTTCGTGTGCTTGCCGAATCCGACTTCGCTGTTGTCCTGACCGGGAATTGCATGTGCGGCGATGGTGAGCAGCAGCAGCAGAGAGCACAGCGTTGACGACTTTTTGGCCAAAGGTCCGGTGTCGAGCCCCATTGGATGAAGGCAGCGGATGAGCATGTAGAATTGCATTAGAGCTGGTGGAAAAGAATGAAATGTGGGGGCTTTTATAGTATATTATCAAGAAGGAAGACTGGAATATCAGCAAAAAAACACTATAAAAGCAGCTCGTTTTTCATACTCGTCACCGTCAACAACAACATATCTTCATGCAACTTCAACTTCACAGCAATACAGCCCCGAATGAGGATACGTGGGCGTTCAAACCGATCGGGTCGCCATTTCCGGACAATCCTGTCAAAGTGCTGGGCCAGCAGAACATGTACGTCGCACTGTGGTACAAGAACGGAAAGCCGGTGCACGGCTACGCATGGAACGATGCTGGCGTTGTACAAGCTTCATTTCCGTACGGCAAGGCTGAGCTCACAGGGAAAGTAGATCTTGGCGGCATGATTCAGGTACGTTGAGTCTTTTTATTAGTAATCTAATTCATAACTTGTTTTCTTTCCTTCTCAGGTGCTGCAGTACAACGGAGACCATAACTCGCTCGGCTATTGGTACGAGTGGATCAAGTACAAGGACCGCTTCGAAAAGACCGATGAACGTCAACTGGTTCGGTGCGGCGACTCGATGCCCATTCTATGGGTTAATCGTCCTGGTGGAACACTGCTCGGCACCTTGAACATGAAGACGGAAGAAGCCTACTTTTCACAAGCTGGAAAGGCGGAATGCGTCCTTGGAAAACCGCTCTCGGAGATGATGATCATCGTTCGGTAAGTTTATGAGTTTAGATTTTTGTGAGAATGTATCCCTATTTTTAGAAATCTAAAGGGGTCTCCACCGTGGTGCCCTTGTGATACGTGTCTAACGGAACAGTTGACAGCACACTATGGCAATGAGGGCAACGTAGAAGACGAGACCGAGCAGGGGCCAGCAGCAGAAGAAGGAGCACCAGGGAGTATAGGACAAGCGGAAACCGGAACAGGAGCGACTACAGCAAACAGCACAGCGGAGGACGGAACAGGAGCCACTTCAGCAAACGGCACAGTGGAGGACATATACGCGTCCCTAGATTCACTTAATCTCTGATTAGTGAATCTAGGCAGGTAAGAGGAGAGGCTTCACAAGATTCACTAACCTAAAAAATGGTTAGTGAGTCTAATGGAGCGTAAAACCGATGGAGGACTAGTAATGGGGGATCCTCCCTGAAGGGGGGATACCCCATGGGACTCCAAAATTAAGATTGGGTGTGAGTGAGTGAGTGAGTGACTTGTTTGCTATCGGTCTCGTGGCAATATTAAGTCTTAGATGAAGTTTACCACCGACTTTGGGCTGCGATCCCAAACAACCCGACTCTAAAGCACGCAGATATCGATCAATTATCTCAATGTACAGGACTTGCACCTTCTGTGGAACCCCTGTCAAGGGGACTTGTTTGAGACACTTGATCAAAAATTACGGCTTATACGCTACACCTCATAATGCCTGAGACAAAATGATTTAGCGATGGACATTTCCCTGTTCACTCGCCGTTACTGGGGGAATCCTGTTTAGTTTCTTTTCCTCCGCTTACTGATATGCTTAAGTTCAGCGGGTGCTCTCGACTGAGTTCAGGTCAAAATTGTTTGGTTCTTGTAGTTATATTCATACAACTAGGATAAACAACAATCCTCTTAAAATATAAAGCATCAATAGCATATATAAATTAAAGCTTTCGCTTTAAAAGAAAATGACCCTGAACCAGACGTAGCAAAAGGTTTGACCCCAATGCGGCAATATGCGTTCAAAACTTTTGTGCTCAAGGTTTCTGCAGTTCGCACAAATTATCGCAGTTTGCTGCGTTCTTCATCGATCCACGAGCCGAGTGATCCACCGATAAGGCTAGAATTTTAGTTTTTTTTTAAAAATATAGAGAAAAAAAGAGTGCTGGCGTCCTCACTTAAGAGGCTCATTAAGTCTTAGTCCTAACATGTCACCACATATACAGCCACGGACGTTCACAACTGTATCAGCAACACCTAGACACCAGCGACAGCCGTTTCACAACAATATATTTATGTTGCGAATTCAAATTTCAACATCACATAAAGTAATGATCCAGCAGCAGGTTCACCTACAGCTACCTTGTTACGACTTTTGCCCGGTTCAAGCCACTGCGATTAAATTGGTTTCCATCAAAGTAATTTAGAAAAATTAAATCAACGGTCCCCAAATTTCTCGAAATGGCTCAGTCCCGGGCAGCGACGGGCGGTGTGTACAAAGGGCAGGGACGTAATCAACGCGAGCTGATGACTCGCACTTACTTGGAATTCCTCGTTCACGGAAAATAATTGCAATTTCCGATCCCAATCACGGCAAATTTTCAATGGTTTACCCGCCCCTTTCGGGGTAGGACAAGCACGTTGATTTTGCCAGTGTAGCGCGCGTGCAGCCCCGGACATCTAAGGGCATCACAGACCTGTTATTGCTCAATTTCTTTCGGCTGAACACCGCAAATCCCTCTAAGAAGCTGTATACACTAAGAGTATGTACCAGCTATTTAGTAGGTTAGAGTCTCGCTCGTTATCGGAATAAACCAGACAAATCACTCCACGAACTAAGAACGGCCATGCACCACCATCCACTGAATCATGAAAAAGCTATCAATCTGTCAATCCTCACAGTGTCCGGGCCGGGTGAGTTTCCCCGTGTTGAGTCAAATTAAGCCGCAGGCTCCACTCCTGGTGGTGCCCTTCCGTCAATTCCTTTAAGTTTCAGCTTTGCAACCATACTTCCCCCGGAACCGGAAGACTTTCGTTTCCGGGAAGCTCCCCACCAAGGCAATATAATTTCCATCGGCGGATCGCTAGTTGGCATCGTTTACGGTCAGAACTAGGGCGGTATCTGATCGCCTTCGAACCTCTGACTTTCGTTCTTGATTAATGAAGACATTCTTGGCAAATGCTTTCGCTGTAGTTTGTCTGGCCACGGTCCAAGAATTTCACCTCTCACGGGGCCATACAAATCTCAGTCCGTAAAACCAATAAAACTGAACCAAAATCGTTTTCTATTATTCCATGCACGATCATTCAAGCGAAAACGCCTGTTTGAAGCACTCTGATTTGTTCAAAGTAAACTTGCAATGCCTGTTAAGAATCCTGTTAAGGAACATAAATTAGCTGCCAAATAGAATAAGGAAGTAAAAACTCACGTGTTGTTATAGCTTCCGTCGAGTTTATGACCAACATCAAGGCATTTGCTGAGTCCTCCTTTTATGTTTCGCACTCCGGTCGTGAACTTGATCGTGCTGTTGTTCGACGCGTTTTTGCTGAGAAGATCCACAGTGCATCCCTTGCTGCCGTTGTTGTACCGAAGCTCGCTGAAATAAAAGAAAATGTTAGTTACGATTAGTCTTTAAAAGAATAAAAAAAGTCCTCACATGTAGTCGTCTTCGATTGAAACATCGCAGGCGTCCGGATACAGCTCCTTGAAGCGACAACTAGTAAAGTTGAAGTACGAACTGCAGAAACCTTGAGCACAAAAGTTTTGAACGCATATTGCCGCATTGGGGTCAAACCTTTTGCTACGTCTGGTTCAGGGTCATTTTCTTTTAAAGCGAAAGCTTTAATTTATATATGCTATTGATGCTTTATATAGTTTGTCTGGCCACGGTCCAAGAATTTCACCTCTCACGGGGCCATACAAATCTCAGTCCGTAAAACCAATAAAACTGAACCAAAATCGTTTTCTATTATTCCATGCACGATCATTCAAGCGAAAACGCCTGTTTGAAGCACTCTGATTTGTTCAAAGTAAACTTGCAATGCCTGTTAAGAATCCTGTTAAGGAACATAAATTAGCTGCCAAATAGAATAAGGAAGTAAAAACTCACGTGTTGTTATAGCTTCCGTCGAGTTTATGACCAACATCAAGGCATTTGCTGAGTCCTCCTTTTATGTTTCGCACTCCGGTCGTGAACTTGATCGTGCTGTTGTTCGACGCGTTTTTGCTGAGAAGATCCACAGTGCATCCCTTGCTGCCGTTGTTGTACCGAAGCTCGCTGAAATAAAAGAAAATGTTAGTTACGATTAGTCTTTAAAAGAATAAAAAAAGTCCTCACATGTAGTCGTCTTCGATTGAAACATCGCAGGCGTCCGGATACAGCTCCTTGAAGCGACAACTAGTAAAGTTGAAGTACGTATTGTTGGCAACTATGGGTTCGCCGGCGAGCATCACTGTGTCGTTTGTCTTCGTGTGCTTGCCGAATCCGACTTCTTCGCTGTTGTCCTGACCGGGAATTGCATGTGCGGCGATGGTGAGCAGCAGCAGCAGAGAGCACAGCGTTGACGACTTTTTGGCCAAAGGTCCGGTGTCGAGCCCCATTGGATGAAGGCAGCGGATGAGCATGTAGAATTGCATTAGAGCTGGTGGAAAAGAATGAAATGTGGGGGCTTTTATAGTATATTATCAAGAAGGAAGACTGGAATATCAGCAAAAAAACACTATAAAAGCAGCTCGTTTTTCATACTCGTCACCGTCAACAACAACATATCTTCATGCAACTTCAACTTCACAGCAATACAGCCCCGAATGAGGATACGTGGGCGTTCAAACCGATCGGGTCGCCATTTCCGGACAATCCTGTCAAAGTGCTGGGCCAGCAGAACATGTACGTCGCACTGTGGTACAAGAACGGAAAGCCGGTGCACGGCTACGCATGGAACGATGCTGGCGTTGTACAAGCTTCATTTCCGTACGGCAAGGCTGAGCTCACAGGGAAAGTAGATCTTGGCGGCATGATTCAGGTACGTTGAGTCTTTTTATTAGTAATCTAATTCATAACTTGTTTTCTTTCCTTCTCAGGTGCTGCAGTACAACGGAGACCATAACTCGCTCGGCTATTGGTACGAGTGGATCAAGTACAAGGACCGCTTCGAAAAGACCGATGAACGTCAACTGGTTCGGTGCGGCGACTCGATGCCCATTCTATGGGTTAATCGTCCTGGTGGAACACTGCTCGGCACCTTGAACATGAAGACGGAAGAAGCCTACTTTTCACAAGCTGGAAAGGCGGAATGCGTCCTTGGAAAACCGCTCTCGGAGATGATGATCATCGTTCGGTAAGTTTATGAGTTTAGATTTTTGTGAGAATGTATCCCTATTTTTAGAAATCTAAAGGGGTCTCCACCGTGGTGCCCTTGTGATACGTGTCTAACGGAACAGTTGACAGCACACTATGGCAATGAGGGCAACGTAGAAGACGAGACCGAGCAGGGGCCAGCAGCAGAAGAAGGAGCACCAGGGAGTATAGGACAAGCGGAAACCGGAACAGGAGCGACTACAGCAAACAGCACAGCGGAGGACGGAACAGGAGCCACTTCAGCAAACGGCACAGTGGAGGACATATACGCGTCCCTAGATTCACTTAATCTCTGATTAGTGAATCTAGGCAGGTAAGAGGAGAGGCTTCACAAGATTCACTAACCTAAAAAATGGTTAGTGAGTCTAATGGAGCGTAAAACCGATGGAGGACTAGTAATGGGGGATCCTCCCTGAAGGGGGGATACCCCATGGGACTCCAAAATTAAGATTGGGTGTGAGTGAGTGAGTGAGTGAGTGAGTGAGTGAGTGAGTGAGTGAGTGAGTGAGTGAGTGAGTGAGTGAGTGAGTGAGTGAGTGAGTGAGTGAGTGAGTGAGTGAGTGAGTGAGTGAGTGAGTGAGTGAGTGAGTGAGTGAGTGAGTGAGTGAGTGAGTGAGTGAGTGAGTGAGTGAGTGAGTGAGTGAGTGAGTGAGTGAGTGAGTGAGTGAGTGAGTGAGTGAGTGAGTGAGTGAGTGAGTGAGTGAGTGAGTGAGTGAGTGAGTGAGTGAGTGAGTGAGTGAGTGAGTGAGTGAGTGAGTGAGTGAGTGAGTGAGTGAGTGAGTGAGTGAGTGAGTGAGTGAGTGAGTGAGTGAGTGAGTGAGTGAGTGAGTGAGTGAGTGAGTGAGTGAGTGAGTGAGTGAGTGAGTGAGTGAGTGAGTGAGTGAGTGAGTGAGTGAGTGAGTGAGTGAGTGAGTGAGTGAGTGAGTGAGTGAGTGAGTGAGTGAGTGAGTGAGTGAGTGAGTGAGTGAGTGAGTGAGTGAGTGAGTGAGTGAGTGAGTGAGTGAGTGAGTGAGTGAGTGAGTGAGTGAGTGAGTGAGTGAGTGAGTGAGTGAGTGAGTGAGTGAGTGAGTGAGTGAGTGAGTGAGTGAGTGAGTGAGTGAGTGAGTGAGTGAGTGAGTGAGTGAGTGAGTGAGTGAGTGAGTGAGTGAGTGAGTGAGTGAGTGAGTGAGTGAGTGAGTGAGTGAGTGAGTGAGTGAGTGAGTGAGTGAGTGAGTGAGTAGATATCACAACATAAGAATAATGTAAATGAATACTTGAAAGATACGCCGACTCTATCTGTTTCCACCTCACCGGTTTCAGTGAGTGAGTGAGTGAGTGAGTGAGTGAGTGAGTGAGTGAGTGAGTGAGTGAGTGAGTGAGTGAGTGAGTGAGTGAGTGAGTGAGTGAGTGAGTGAGTGAGTGAGTGAGTGAGTGAGTGAGTGAGTGAGTGAGTGAGTGAGTGAGTGAGTGAGTGAGTGAGTGAGTGAGTGAGTGAGTGAGTGAGTGAGTGAGTGAGTGAGTGAGTGAGTGAGTGAGTGAGTGAGTGAGTGAGTGAGTGAGTGAGTGAGTGAGTGAGTGAGTGAGTGAGTGAGTGAGTGAGTGAGTGAGTGAGTGAGTGAGTGAGTGAGTGAGTGAGTGAGTGAGTGAGTGAGTGAGTGAGTGAGTGAGTGAGTGAGTGAGTGAGTGAGTGAGTGAGTGAGTGAGTGAGTGAGTGAGTGAGTGAGTGAGTGAGTGAGTGAGTGAGTGAGACTGCAAGGACCATCCGTCTCCTCTGTTTTAATTAGACATTCGGATTCCCGGAGTTCGTGCCAGTTCTAAACTGGTTGTTCAGCGCCAATCGAAGTACTATATCTTGCGAAATAGCACGCAGCTGAAGCGCTCCACAAGCAGTCCTCACTACTAGTCCACAAGCGCCGCCCCGAAAGGAAGCGAAAGCAGCCACGAGCAATGTCCACCTGTTTCACACAACAGCCCGACTGACCCAACCTTTAGAGCCAATTCTTTTCCCGAAGTTACGAATCTAATTTGCCGACTTCCCTTACCTACATTATTCTATCGACTAGAGGCTGTTCACCTTGGAGACCTGCTGCGGATATGGGTACGATCCTGCTCAGGAATAGTTCACCATCTTTCGGGTCTCACCGCGTACGCTCTTCCGCCACCCTACTGTAAACAGTTAGAATGGGGCCATGCTGCACTTTTTTACAAGATCGCACATCAGACTCTAAAGAGCCATTTACTTTCATTTGGCCTTTAGGTTTCTAACACCCAAAAACTTGCGCACACGATAAACTCCTTGGTCCGTGTTTCAAGACGGGTCGGATAGATGACCGGCCTTTACATGGGGAGCGAGTACGAGAGCATTAACTGGACCGAACTAATTGAAAAGCACGTGTCGCATGCGACCGTAACTTACACTCAGATCGAACCAATAAATGCCCGTAAGCCATACTCAAATGTCCAAGACAAAAAATGCTAACACCGTTTGGGTACCAGCAAGCTGGCCTCAAAACGACGGACACAAATCTGCCTCAAACATCCCCAAGCACCAAACAAGTAAATGCATCACAGAAAATTATGCTGCTTCTTTCTGTCCCAATCTGGAGCTCAGATATCACAACATAAGAATAATGTAAATGAATACTTGAAAGATACGCCGACTCTATCTGTTTCCACCTCACCGGTTTCACGTCCTCTTTAACTCTCTCTTCAAAGTGCTTTGCAACTTTCCTTCACAGTACTTGTTTGCTATCGGTCTCGTGGCAATATTAAGTCTTAGATGAAGTTTACCACCGACTTTGGGCTGCGATCCCAAACAACCCGACTCTAAAGCACGCAGATATCGATCAATTATCTCAATGTACAGGACTTGCACCTTCTGTGGAACCCCTGTCAAGGGGACTTGTTTGAGACACTTGATCAAAAATTACGGCTTATACGCTACACCTCATAATGCCTGAGACAAAATGATTTAGCGATGGACATTTCCCTGTTCACTCGCCGTTACTGGGGGAATCCTGTTTAGTTTCTTTTCCTCCGCTTACTGATATGCTTAAGTTCAGCGGGTGCTCTCGACTGAGTTCAGGTCAAAATTGTTTGGTTCTTGTAGTTATATTCATACAACTAGGATAAACAACAATCCTCTTAAAATATAAAGCATCAATAGCATATATAAATTAAAGCTTTCGCTTTAAAAGAAAATGACCCTGAACCAGACGTAGCAAAAGGTTTGACCCCAATGCGGCAATATGCGTTCAAAACTTTTGTGCTCAAGGTTTCTGCAGTTCGCACAAATTATCGCAGTTTGCTGCGTTCTTCATCGATCCACGAGCCGAGTGATCCACCGATAAGGCTAGAATTTTAGTTTTTTTTTAAAAATATAGAGAAAAAAAGAGTGCTGGCGTCCTCACTTAAGAGGCTCATTAAGTCTTAGTCCTAACATGTCACCACATATACAGCCACGGACGTTCACAACTGTATCAGCAACACCTAGACACCAGCGAGCAGGGGCCAGCAGCAGAAGAAGGAGCACCAGGGAGTATAGGACAAGCGGAAACCGGAACAGGAGCGACTACAGCAAACAGCACAGCGGAGGACGGAACAGGAGCCACTTCAGCAAACGGCACAGTGGAGGACATATACGCGTCCCTAGATTCACTTAATCTCTGATTAGTGAATCTAGGCAGGTAAGAGGAGAGGCTTCACAAGATTCACTAACCTAAAAAATGGTTAGTGAGTCTAATGGAGCGTAAAACCGATGGAGGACTAGTAATGGGGGATCCTCCCTGAAGGGGGGATACCCCATGGGACTCCAAAATTAAGATTGGGTGTGAGTGAGTGAGTGAGTGAGTGAGTGAGTGAGTGAGTGAGTGAGTGAGTGAGTGAGTGAGTGAGTGAGTGAGTGAGTGAGTGAGTGAGTGAGTGAGTGAGTGAGTGAGTGAGTGAGTGAGTGAGTGAGTGAGTGAGTGAGTGAGTGAGTGAGTGAGTGAGTGAGTGAGTGAGTGAGTGAGTGAGTGAGTGAGTGAGTGAGTGAGTGAGTGAGTGAGTGAGTGAGTGAGTGAGTGAGTGAGTGAGTGAGTGAGTGAGTGAGTGAGTGAGTGAGTGAGTGAGTGAGTGAGTGAGTGAGTGAGTGAGTGAGTGAGTGAGTGAGTGAGTGAGTGAGTGAGTGAGTGAGTGAGTGAGTGAGTGAGTGAGTGAGTGAGTGAGTGAGTGAGTGAGTGAGTGAGTGAGTGAGTGAGTGAGTGAGTGAGTGAGTGAGTGAGTGAGTGAGTGAGTGAGTGAGTGAGTGAGTGAGTGAGTG